AGAGATGGGATTTCACCATGTTGACCAGGATGGTCTCGATCTCTCGACCTCGTGATCCACCTGCCTCGGCCTCCCAAAGTGCTGGGATTACAGGCTTGAGCCACCTCGCCCGGCTAGATGAACTCTTAATGGTATCTTACATTTTTAAAATGTATTTGTGTTTCCAAGGGTGCTGTTTCCTCCCTGAGATTGGAGGAGGGAGCCAGCTCTACCCTCAGCTTCTGTTCCCCCTGGAGAGGAGGGGGGAGGAGAAAGGGCTTCTCAGGCCTCCGCCCTTGCACTCCATACCAAGGAGTGCCAGGTTTGAAAGGAGAGGCTTCAGTTCCCCCCTGCCAGTGGGATAACAAAGAGCTGGGATTACAGGTGCCTGCCACCACGCCCAGCTAATTTTTTTGTATTTTTGGTGGAGATGGGGGTTTCACCACATTGGACAGGCTGGTCTCGAACTCCTGACCTCACCTCGGCCTCCCAAAGTGCTGGGATTATAGGCGTGAGCCACCATGTCCAGCCCAGGATGTCATTTTTCAAGTATTTCCTCTCAGTTTATTAGTGCCTAAGGGAAAAGCCAAAGCAGATGATAGATAATTAAGAAGGTGGGGCTTTAGAACACACAGTGTGCCGGAACTCTAGTGTGGGTGGAACTTGATTGTATTGAGTCACCATAAGTGGACAAGAAAGGAGCTCCTGACAGGTGAAGGGGGTATAGCTCAGGGGTAGAGCATTTGACTGCAGATCAAGAGGTCCCCGGTTCAAATCCGGGTGCCCCCTTCCTGGATGTTTTCTCACTTTTATTTAAAAGTAAATGCTGTGAGTCACAGTGTCACCAGAAAAGATGAAGGAACTGTTTTCTTTCTTCTTTTTTTTTTTAAGACAGGGTTTCACCATGTTGGTCAGGCTGGTCTTGAACTCCCAACCTCAGGTGATCTGCCCACCTTGGCCTCCAATCTGCTTGGATTACAGGCATGAGCCACCACGCCCGGCGATGAAGGAACTTTTAACGTTCCTTCCATATTCCAGCTGACCACTAGGACAAAAAGCCCCTTTAGGACCTCCTTTGTCTTCAATTAAGACCAAGTCCTAGCCAGGCATGGTGGCTCATGCCTGTAATACAAGCACTTTGGGAGGCCAAAGCAGGGGATCATGAGGTCAGCAGATCAAGACCATCCTGGCCAACATGGTGAAACCCCATCTCTACTAAAAATAC